TTGATTTTTTTTTTCTCATTTTGTCTCTCATACTTGAGGTATATCTATGATGAAATTACCGGCCTCTCTCATCTTTTTAAGTGGGAGAACTTTCACTATTGGTGGCTGACTAAATACTTTTTTGCCCCACTGTACATGCCTGGAAGATGTCTAGTGTTACTACCAATGATGATCTCGAAATGGAATTTAATGACTCAGATTATGACATTGATGAGTTTAAATATGATGGATGTCCATCACAACTCCAGTTCGGCACAGTGACTAGGGGACAATGATTCGCCTACATGTTATGAATGCTGGCGTAACATAAATAATAAATTATGAACAGTTTAGTTTCTGCCTGTAACTCATTGCCCATAGGAAGACGTTACTTGGATTACAAAACCGAATATCTTCGGAACAGCTCCAAATGACTAACAACTAACTAATATGGGTAAGTAGAACATGATGTAATAACGTAAAATCAAGGGGCCAATGTAAAAAAAAAAAAAAAACGGTGTTCCCCTTTAATGAAAAGTACCCCTGGCTCAGTGATTTCAAGGAGTTGTTGCTGCTTTACCAACCAACTTGGTGTTCTTACCTAGATACGTTTTCCTTCTCATTGATATAGATTTATTAGAGACCAAGGCTTGTTCTGCTGGTTTCCTCCTAATAAAGGGAACTACTGGTATGGTGTTTGCTTTATGTCATTACTTAATAAAGTAGCTGAAACAGGTGCTGCTGTTTATATCATTATGTGCTATTTGCCTCTCTATTTTTAGAATTTCTTCAGGGTTAAAGGTTGTGTGTTAAGCTGTGTCTCCTTTCTGAATAAAGCCACTTACAGCAAATGCTGCCATTAATCTTTGTACTCTTTTTGTTGTTTTTTTTTAAATGCAAAGTATTCAGGGTTTTTACTCTTGATAGAGAGAAGCACCTGTATTTGCTCACGTTGCTGTCTCTTTTTTCTTCATGCTTTTACTGTCTATAATTGTTCTGTTTTTTATTTTCATATTTTAAAGAGCCTTGTATACCTGTATGCTTTAAATTCCTATTTGCTTTTCCACTGACATGCCTGAATTTCTCCACTACAGGAAAAAAGGGCAGCAGCCCTAGGATGCTGTCCTCTACAAAAGGGAAAGCGATACAGAAATATTACATAAAAAACACACATTTATTTCAGGTCATTTACCATCAGTTGAAATGCAACAAATGTATCCATGAAGAGGGGAAAAAAGATGCAAATCTGGTGCCTTGGCTCAAATTTTCAGGGGTAAACTGACCTATTAGAATTTTCCTGTTTAAACACATGCATTATTTTAAATTAGCCTAAAGGAAATACAATCAAATCCAAATATATTGAAAATTATTTTTAATGGGAGATATCATAGAACAATTGAACACAACCGAAAATAACTTTATCAACCTTATAAAAAGAAAAGTTTGTGTTTTCTAAAACAATTAACATGCATTATTTTCTGTAAAGGCAAAAGTTGGAGACTCTTTAACAGTTCTACTTCAGACATTGTCAATAAAGCTAATGTTAAGCCACCTCCTGCATTTTAATGTAAATTTAAAAAGAGCAAAGCCACCAACTAACAGTCCAGTGGGTATTTGTCCTGTAAGGTGTGGGTTGTCGGTTCATCCTCCCTGCTCCATCTTTCTCTCTGTTGTTGTGTCCTAGGGCAAGAAAGCTTGTCTGTCAGTCTGTCCCTGGACCAAAGTGAGTTTTTTAATATTTTTTTTTTTTTCATATGTGACATAAAATTACATTTCCTGTGAATTGGCCCATTGCAAATAAACTGAAGTGAACAGAAAATGCTAATATAGTGTTAATGGCTTTCCAAGGGTTCTTGTAGGAGACGAAATCTGCATAATCTTAAAGTGTTTTGAATGCTAAGCTAATAGCTTGATGCAAAAGAGAAGAATGTTTTAACATGTTATCAAACATCCGAGGTAGAGTCTCTGACATCATGCCCTCCTTAATATGCAGAAAAAATCTGATCTTAGTTTATGTGCACTTTGTGGAGCGAAACCACAATCATAAGAAAATAAGCTTTGGTAAATTTTCATTGCAATAAAAGTAACATGAAGCCTTTCTCCTTTGTGGAAGTCTTTTGAATTTGTCCTGCTGCTGCTGATTACTATAAAACCAAACATAACAATGTAAAGTTTGGAGATAAAATCTGCCCTAATAGCATTGTTCATATCTCACAGACATTCAGCCGCCCCTTTTTCTCCTGGAACTAAATCTTTCAAAGAGAGATGCAGGACAAATGGATGGAATAGACATAAACCTAATTGGTACAGAAGGACATCAGCAGGAGTATCTTTGGTCTAAAACTTTTAGGCAATAAGATGACTTCCATAGAGTCCACCTGGAGGAGCAGAGGACCAGAGACACACTGAGCTCTGCCACGTGAGCTTGCTGTCAATTGCTTGTGTGGGAGGAATAATGGTTTAAAATGGCTGACATAACATGCTGTAAAGTCAGTAAACCTACATTAAGTCAGGCATAATGTCAACAAAAAGAACCACGACATGTAAAGGTTTAGCAAAGTTCAAAAACAACGCATCAATTCCTCCTGAAGGGCTCCAGTTAATTTAACAACACTGACTGGTTATCTGCTTTAGAGCAGATTTCTGAGAATTGTATAATAAAAACAAAGCTGCAACAAAACACAACAAAACAAAAAGGTGATTTGTTCTATTTGTAATGTTTTACTTATTTTTTGTTTTCCATGATGAATTTCCTCTTATAAGACAAAGACAGGTATACAGTCTGACTCCCTTTCCAGTCTCCGGTTCCAACATTGATACTGCTAAGCTTATGTATCCTTTCCACATTACCAACCAAAAAAATAACGCATTCAGTTTTTAAAGCTGCAGCAAACGGTAAAAAAAATTTACAATTTCCTCTTAGATATTTGTTTTAGATTCCTCTCTTGCTCCTTGTCCCTTTCCCTGTGCTAGAGCTGCTTCGTTTTTCCAGGCTGTTATTCTTCAGCTGCTCTAATGCTTCTTCCTTTTATTGTTTAATTTAATAAATTATCATCTTTATCATTAGGCTGCTGTAGGGCAACATGCTTTAGAGCAATCTGTTAATTTCCTCTAAAGCAATGGAAAGTCTTGAAGGTGCAGTCCAATGCAATGAATTCCATGACAACTGATGGTGATGAATCAGCTCTAAGGACATGCTGGGAGAATAAAATCTTTCTCAACCAAGGAGCTAATGACGGAAGCAAGATGTTGGAAAAAATATTCACTACCTAATCCATAGATGAGCTGAGCTTTGGAAAAGACTTTTATGGAAAAACATGTGATGTTATATCACATTTTAAGAAGGTATGATCCTACTACACCCCACATTCATCTCATTCAAACAGGGTTGATCTTAATCTCTGTATAAATCCAACTGATCTGTAGGAGCATTAAAGCGTTGTTACAATAAAATCTATTTATGAACAGAATCATAAAGACCAGGGATCATACTGGACATGTCAGGAAGAAACACATAAAAACAGGGTTGAGTTATAAAACAGTATCTCAACCTTTAAACAACCCAGAGAACATTTCAAAGTAACACTGACTCTTTATAGAGGTGATATATTATCAAGTATATTTTTTATAGTTTTAACCACATGTTTTGCATCTTTAATGGAGATGCTATAAAAACTTAAAATCATTCCCACTCCAGCCACGTTTGAGGTCGAGCAACTTTTCACAAAAGTATAAATTTAATATTTTTTCTATAGAAAAAAGAACTAATATAACAGTTTTTGACAAAGCTACAGAAAAATACAGATTTTGTTATGTAACAGATCCTTAAAAAACAGCATGACTCAAAGAGGAAGCAAAGTTGTGTCAATACTTTCTGTGGCTCGTTAAGTTTCTTATCAGACTACTGAACCTTCATCACTTCCATGCATCACATATTCTTTTCTGTTTCACATTACATCTTTCCTGTTTTCAGCTCATAAACCTAAACTCCATAACTGAAAGAACATAACCATAAAATAAGATGGTGCAAAATACATTTAAGTATTTCTCTAACAAAGAGAGCAGAAGAGCAGAAGAAAGTACCATGACCCCAAACTAAGCAAAAACACAGCATTTGATGGGTATATACTATTAAGGCTCTCTTGAAGCCCTTCAATATTTAATTAAATTTTATACTGCCAGAGAGTCCTTCCAGCTAAAGCAGAGATAGATCCAATCTTTTCTGAAAACAAAGACACCAGTTGAGTCGATCTAAAGGACAGCTGAAGCTAAAGTACATTTCACAAGCTTTTATTTTCATTCCATGGAGAAAATGCACTGCAAAATGTCTCACTGCGAATTCTACAATAGATAATTTGATACGTTTTGCATAACTTTTACAGTAAGGATTACAGCAATAAACTGCGAAACATGCTTCAATTTACCACATTTTCATATCTGTGATATTACAATGCATTGTTGTAAAACTATAAATGTATACCCTGCAATGTGTTAAAATCTTATAATGCAAAGTTGTCGTTTAAAAAACACCAAAAAATAAAAACAAGGCTGCTCAAAACTAAGTCTGACATGTAATGCTGCTGTAAAAAACAATCTCAAAGTCGACAGGTTTTCTCAAAAGAATGCTGCTTCATTATTGTCTACTTCTTATTCTTTTAGCCTCTTTCAGAATAAATGCCCTGAAAGCCGCTGTTGAGGAGCAAAGATGGTTTCATTTTTAGATAAATTTATATATTACAGGCAGCATTTATAAAGGTTTTCACCTGTACCATTCCCCATATCCAACCATAATAGAATTATAATCCAACATACATTTTCTTAGCCAATGATGCCCCAAGCCCTATTGACTTTATTAGCTTTGGCTAACATTGGAAATTCATGAAAGCAGTGCACCATCACTCTAGCCTCTTCATATTGTTATTAAATGTAGATAATAAATAATAAATGTTAATTAAAAAGTAAAATTATAAATAACATTAGTGTAGTTCTGCAAACAGCTATAATTGTTGCATACATTCTTCGTTTTTCATTCAAGGAGTGTCAAGCTCTGTTGAGTATTTATATACAGTATTTCACTCTAATAATACTATTGAATGCTGGAATATTTTTCACAGCGTTTTTTTTTTTTTTTACTGCTTTGCTGTCAAATGACAGACCTTGCTGTCGCATACTGTAACAGGGTTCTTTTGATTGTGAGATTTTCCTGTTTGGATTTTATGTGACATAACATTTTAAAGCAGGTAATCTACCTGTGACTGCGTTCGGTCTTATCCCTTTTCACTTTGATTTATTTAAATTAAAATATTTTGCTATCCACTGCAATCTTAGACATAAAATGCCATTTATCTACTGATTAGGTCTCTGTATACATGCAGCCATTTGTGAAGATTTGCTGGTTCTTAAAAATCTTTAATAATACTACCATGGAATATCGGATACCGATTATGAAAACAGTGAAAATTAGATTGTACAATAAAATTCCATGCTATGAACATTAAACAAAGCATAACTTAATTAATCATCCGAGGCTGGCACAGCTGCAAAAGTCATGATTGTCCACCTAAACCATGGGTCGTGCATTCAAAGAATTAATGGACTTGACTTGGTGAATCTGGGAGCTACAGAGATTTGCAGTTGAGGTGTTGCAGGAGAATTGGTTGACCCAACAAATTCTGGCTGAGCAAAACACAAAAACAAACACCATTAGCTACAACGAGGGAACAGTTGTTTTTTTAAAACGCTCCAGTCAAATTTAAGACTTAAATTCAACTGATAATTGTATTTAAGGTGCCTTTAATTTCAGTGTAATTTCATACATAAACTCGTACAAAATTCAACATCTAGTTCTGCGAGGCCGATTGATACATAGTCAAAGACAATGTCGACTCAGAAGAACTTTGCTAACTATTTTTTTATTTATCAAATAAATGTTAATAGGCTATTACTTCATGATAAACACTACTTTTTGTTGGTCACTTACATCTTTAAAACTTACATTAAATATTCATATGTATTACCAAATTTGATTGCGTATAGGTTTTGTGTTTCTAACATTTCTGCTTTCTCTAGTTTAATTGTGACTAAATTAAAACATTTAAAATAAACAAAGAAACATTATTTGAACGCTTGGGTGTTAGATAAACTGAAATTTGTTTGCGAAATTTAAATGTGAAATTGATTGAAGGTTTTGGACCTGCGCTGGTCTGTAGTCCTCCCTGCCTCCAGGCGGCGATGTGTAGCCAGGGAGTTGACAGGAAAAGTCAGTGGGACAGATGCTAACAGGAACTGTCCGCATTTTTGACCCTTTTTTAACGCTGTAGAAATGTCACATCTTTTTTTCTGACTCCTGTTTATCTTAATTTACAGCAGAAAATCCCTTTGAAGGTAAGTTTTGAGTTCTGTTGATTTGCGGTTGAAAGTATTTTAAGCTAGTTCCAGAAGCTAATATCCATCTAGCTAACTTCTTCGTTGAACTGTTAGGAGTACATAATTAGGCACTGGTACCTTAGATCAGTGAAAAAATCACCAGTAAGGTGTATGACCTTTATGTTTCTTGACTTGACGTTAAGCAAGTGATCTTTGCCAGAACATTAATTATTTGTTAGCTGTGCAGAAACTCGTCCTTCCAAAGCTGTTTGGCCATTTCTTTCATTCATACTTTTATTTCGCAACAGTAAACAAACAATTCGTTACAACGACCTATGATTTACACATTTTAGAAAGTGACAACCTGCACCTTTGTTATTAATGTGTGCGAAATGGTGCCTGATCTTTTTTTTTATATATATATATTTCTCTGCAGCTCACATTTTCTCACAATAGAGAATTAATGGTTTATGAGCAGTTCTCTTCAGTTATTTGCTGCTAAAGTTGAAACTAAATGTCTTTCTGGTCAAGGGAAATTAATTAATACAGGAAAGTCAATATTGTCATACTGCCAAATTTAAAGTCATATCAGTTCATATTTGAACCTGTTATTGAAAAAACCAGTCTAGTTTATTTGAGAAATTTGTTCAAAAAAAATAGTTTTTTTGTTTCACCCTTTATAGTACAAGTTACTGGTTTTGATCACTTGCATACCCCTTACAAATGGAGTCCTCCCATCCCTCAGTGAGGTCTAGAAGCACAAAATATATTTCCACCCATTCAGCAAAGATGCTGCTACATGGCTGTACATCTTATTTTGGCATTTGACCAAGTAGATGAACCCTTGAATGCTTTATTACCTACTGTAAATTAAGTTGGGGAAAAAAGTTAAGTCAAGAAAAAAAAAGTAAAAGGCTAAAAGAAAAGCTCAAAAGTTAATAAACCTAGTTAAAAATTATATTTAGGTTTATAAACTAAAACATGTCAGTGACAGTATCAGGATTGATGCCTCTAAGGTTACGTTGTACCAAAAAATGTTTTTCTTTCACTATCAGAGTGTTTTTCATGATTTTCTTATAGAAGCACCTTTGTTAATTTTTCTTAAAATATTCGGGCAAGTTGGTTTTTGGATCAAAATATCCATATTGTTTTTTAATGTTAAAGAGTTATTAAGGTCTTGTCCTGGATTCCAAAATCACTATTGGCTGGAAATTTGGATTTCCACAGTATTTCACTGAGTGCCCTATAAAGGGAAAACCGAGATAATTGGATCCACTCACAGACTAGTATGGGTTCCTACATTATATACTAAATAATTTTAAATGTTTAAAGACAAAGTTGGATATTTTTTAACAAACGATACTGGTATAAATTTGAATTCATTTTCCTTTAATTTTCTTTGAAACAGTTGCCTTATTGGATGTGTAATGGAGCCAGCTGTACGTCAGATTTGGAAGAGAAGCTTTCAAAATCTTCACAGACCATTTATTCTTCTTCATAAGAGACACCATTCAGGTCAGGTTGAGCATGCGGACATCCCTGCCTCCAGCCACTCCCGGCGCATCAAGCCCACGCTGCTGGTTTCTCGCCTCTACCAGCCTTCGAACCTGCGGGATGTGGGTCAGGACAACCGGCTGATGGAGGAGCTGACCTGTAAGAGCCAGAGGCTAATGCAGCAAGCAGGCCTCATCCATCCATCAAACCCAGGATGCTACTACTACCTTCCTGCCACTGTTCGTTCGATGGAAAAGCTGGTAGGTTTTTATTTTCAAGATGATGATTAGCATCATCCCTTTTTAAAAAGCCTGTTCAAAGTATCTCATATCACTCAAAAATATGAAATTTTTAAGGAGGATAACATCACCATCACCGTTTATACCTGTCTAATATGATTTGTGAGCAAAGGGGATGCATTTTTTTTTTTTTGTAAAATTAGATTAGCAGACTTGCATCTGTTTTTAAAACAAACAGTTTAAGTGGGTATTTTGCTTATGAAATTTGACTTGCTTTAATATATATTTTCGATTGATTACCTAATTAACAAGTGTTACATCTGAGTAAACAATCCCTCCATCCATCCATTTTCTTACACGCTTGTCCCGAGTGGGGTCGTGAGGGGTGCTGGTGCCTATCTCCAGCAGTCAATGGGCGAGAGGTGGGGTACACCCTTGCAGGTCGCCAGTCCATCGCAGGAGTAAACAATCCACATCTGGAAATACATTTTTTTTTTTATTAAAAATAATTAGTGCTGGGTATTGTTAGGAACCTCTCAATTCAATTCGATTTCAATAATTGCTGTTGCGATTCGATCCAATTTGATTCGATTCAATGCTGATTTTTGAAGCCGTTTGACTGTCACTGCAGGAGTTGTAAGAGCAGCCTGGGATGCCAAGTTGAGCACATGGGCAAAGCAAAGGCCTTCATGGTACGAAATGGCTTTGATGTCCGCTTTACCTACCTTGTCCATTGATGACGAGGTTTATTTACATTAGATCACAGCATCAAATCTATGAATTAAACTGGTCATATTTATTGTAACCTGTGGGTTGTCGGTTGTTTAAGTTGTGTAATTTTAGTTTACATAGATCATTTTATAAATAGTTGATTATTCTGTGTAGGATTGTATATAGGCCTAACGTAACTGCAGTCCCATTCGAGCATAATGGGAATTTCTCTAGCCACTAGTTTGTCAGTTCTGGGCTGCCGTAGAAGATGTCTGCCTCCACAAATGCAAACCCACTCCTTTGTAATTATAAACTGCTATTTCTAAGGTAAGCCAAACATAAAGATTGAGACTTTCAGTTCCTAGGTGATAATAAATAATATACATAGAGATAATATATTACATTTATGACAGTACCTTTAAGCAGGAAAGTTCAGTTCTTACTTGTTTTTGACAATAAAAAAACAAAAAGAAGGTTATTTAAATAAACACCAAATACAAGTTGTAAAAAAAGAAGAACTTTATGAAACCTTTTTTCCTACATTTATCTATTTTAGTTGTAAATTTTGCACAAAAAATCAGAAACTTTTGTTCTACTCTTTCCTGGATGTTACGTTCCATATTTCTTAATTTTTCTAGTTTCTGGATATTTTATAACTGCGACTGTAATATATATGAAAAGGCCAAAAGTGCCACAAATGCACTAAAAAGGAAAAGTGTTTCTATGTTAAATGTAATTTGCAATCCATGCATGAAATTCATTAAAATCTACATATTTCATAATAAAAAATTTTTTATCATTAGGCAAACTTGTAGACATAATCTTTATCTTTCGCTTTAAAAATTAAAGTTGTTGCTACAAGTCAGTCATAACGACTTGGAATTGTAAGATGATCTGTGATGATTTTGTTTAATTAGTTTGTTTGGGGCTATGAACAACATATTAAAACTAAAGTGTTGAATCAACAGGTGAAGGTGATCGATCAGGAAATGCAGGCGATCGGTGGACAGAAGTTGGACATGCCAAGTTTGTGCTCAGCTGATCTCTGGAAAACCAGTGAGCGCTGGGATCTGATGGGAAAGGAACTGTTCCGTTTGAAGGACCGCCATGGTGCGGACTACTGCTTGGGTCCAACCCATGAAGAGGCCGTAACAACACTCGTTGCTCATCAGGCGAACCTTTCCTACAGACAGCTGCCTCTTCTTCTTTACCAAGTAAGCATTCAGTAGGTTGCTGTTTGGGGTGATTGCCTTGTCAAGCTGCTCCTGTTTACATTTGGATTTCTATTTCCATATATTAGATAACCCGCAAGTTCAGAGATGAACCAAAGCCGAGGTTCGGTCTCCTACGAGGGAGGGAGTTTTACATGAAGGACATGTACTCATTCGACGTGAGTGAAGAAGCCGCTCATGAGACGTATGGATCCGTCTGCCAGGCGTACAATCGGCTCTTTGCCAGGTTGGGCCTCCCTTGTGTTCAAGTCCAAGCAGACACTGGAAACATCGGTGGTACGCTCTCCCATGAGTTCCAGCTGCCTGCTGATATTGGTGAGGATCGGCTACTGGTCTGTGGGACCTGCTCCTTCGCTGCTAACGTAGAGACTTTGTCTTCGGACAGAACAGATTGTCCAAAGTGCGGCACTGGCACACTGGTAGAGTCAAAGGGAATAGAAGTAGGTCACACGTTTTATCTGGGTAAAAAGTACTCTAATATATTCAAAGCCACTTTTAGTAATCACCAGAACAAGCCTACTGTTGCTGAGATGGGCTGCTATGGTCTGGGAGTGACACGCATCCTTGCTGCAGCTATCGAAGTGATGTCGACAGAGGAAGCCATCCGCTGGCCGGGTCTTATCGCCCCCTTCCAGGTCTGTGTTTTACCCCCAAAGAAGGGCAGCAAGGTAGACGAGGCAGCAGCGCTGGCGGAGGAGCTGGTTCACACGTTGGGACAATCTCTTCCACATTTAAGAGGGGAAGTTGTTCTCGACGACCGCACACAGATGACCATCGGAAAGAGACTGAAGGACGCCGGCAGACTGGGCTACCCATATGTGGTAGTTGTAGGGCAGGGGGCTCTGGAGGAAATGCCAAAGTTTGAGGTGATATGTCAGCAGACTGGTGAGACGATGTTTCTCAGTAAAGATGGACTGCTAGATTTACTGGGAACAGTGGAGACTGTATAGAAAACAACTTTAAAATGGGTTGAAAAAAACTTTTATCTCTATTTGGTATACTGGGAAATTTGATTGCATTTGATTTATGATATTGCAAAAAATAAAGCATAAGTGAAAATGTAGTTTTCTTGTTTTAAATCTTTCAACTTTTCATTACAAGAAAAATTACAGAAAATAAATAAAACTACAGGTGTCAAAAATGTTTTGCCCTGTGGGACAAATTGCCAAGTTAAACGAATTTGAGGGCCAGAAAAAAATACTTATTTTCATTTTATAAATTAGAAATACAAAAGAAAAGTTATTTCTAATTTAACCTAAAGTAAAATAAACTTGCCATTTTTTTTTTTATGAAATGACCAAAAGCAGCAGAATTTAATTTTCTAAATTATTCCAAAAATAGACATTTTCACAATTGCCTTTATAAAAGAAAGACTTTCAGATTTTTACATTGTTTTAGTTATTTGTTTTTTAAACTTCTCCAGAAAAGAATCTTGTGGTTGAGGAACAAGAACTAGGTTTGGATTACTTCATATTGCAAAGTTTAATGAATTGGTGTGCTCATGTCCTGCAAAGCTTGAAGCAGAATTAGTTTAAAAACAATGTTTTAAGCCACCAATCATCTTGCATAGAATTGTGCGGCCACTATCTGTGAAAAGGTGAAGAGTGAGAGACAATTGCAGACCCACTTAGATGGGACAGGCAAAAAAAAACAATGAGAAGGTTACTTAGAAAAAAGGCTGGAAAGAGGCCAGTGGTATCTCTGGATGAGCTGCAGAAACCAGAGCTCAGGAGCTCAAGGAGTGATCTACATACAGCCCCTATTGGCAAAACCATCTGAGCACACTAGCTTTTAGCTGAACCTAAGAATAAAAAATAATTTTCATTTTACCTTGAATCTATTGTCTATATTGGTCTGATTTTTTTCTTTTCTTCATTTTTCTCAATTGATCATGTATTAAGTATTACGGTAAGACTTAAACAGGAAATTTCTCAATTTGACTTTTTTTCAACCTAAATCATACTCATCAGCAAATAATGTGTAATAATCATAACTATGTCATGTTTTTTATTATCTTAAAACCCTTTTAAATATAAAGAAATTTGCTAAATTGACAGAAGTGCTGAACAGAGGTTAAAAAAAAGGAATTAAAAGACTCCATCCAACCTTGCCTTTTTTTTCAAGGTCTACAGTCATTCTTCTGCCAAACAGATAAGACCTAAGAACTTTAGTGCAGCGGCTTTGACGCTATAATGCTCCAAGACACTAGGCAAGTGATTCAATTCAAACACAATACAATACAAACACAATTCAATACAAAACAGGCAGATCTCCAAAATTTATAAACACTGGTGTTGTTGGCAGCAGCACAGCTCATATTTCTCTCCAGGATGGAGTCACAGCCAAACAGGAACAGACCAGATGAAGCTACTACAAGAAAAAGCAGAGAGTATAATGTTAGAGATTGAACTAACAGATTCTGCAGAATGCGAGATCGAAACTGTTTTAATGAAAAATTACAGGAATATTTCACTGGTTTCAGGTGATCTATCCAATACACAAAACTAAATACGGTAAGTATTAAGAACAGAGTATGTGACTGAAAAGAGAACCTACAGTAAGTAGGAGTCTTGGAGCTGTTAACAACCCAAAGGAACTCTGCTTTTCTGCATTAATGTCCTGATAAATGTGCAATGTTTTTGACTTGTAAAATATATATTTTTTCCACCTTCTTTTGGTATTTTTGTCTTTTATGACAGGAAAAAGTGGTTTAATTTATCAATGGATTTTTTTTTTCTTTTCAAGAATCAGGATTCCATAACGGCAAAAGGAGTTTGACTAAAAGTTAATTACCCTGAAAATGTAATTCCTTTCTTTTTTTCATACTTAATAAAATCAATAAAAAATATGTAAATGTGATAAAAAAAAAAAAAAAAAAAAACATCTCTTCCGAAATCTGTGTCTTTCCCCATGCTTCAAACATTACTGTTACATCTTGAATTTTGGGTATTTTTCTGTCTCGTTAAATAACCGTTTGGTGTTACAGCGGAACCAATTCTATCGATATCACGTTGCTGCACGGATGGTAGTCAGCACAGTACCACGTCTACACATGTGTAAACAAGGGAGGATAGGAATGTGTTCAGTTCGTCCCTGCTAATCTTATTGTGTAGAAACGATTCGTTAAAACGAAAAGCCCCTTTTATTCTCTGAGGAAAAATGGCGTCAACAGAAGCGCAGGATGACAGTGACGACGGTATGGATGCCTTCATGGACAAATTCAAGTCTCAAAGGTATAAAAATGCTTTAAGTGAGAACAACTGGGAAGAGGTAAGCCTGATACTCAGATCATCTCAGTGTTTAATGCGAAGCTATTTGCAATCCGTAATTGTTGAATATTTTTATTTGATTTTTCAGGAGTTCAATAAAATCCCCATGTTTATGAAAACCGCCCCAGAAGAGATCGACCCTAAAAAATACCCTGAATTAGCCTGTCTGCAGTCTATTATCCACGACGAGGACAGGACTCCGGAAGGTAAACAGAACCCCATTTTCTTACCACACAGCAAGTAATATTACTTACAATTGTTAAATGGTATTTTATGTTTTTAGAGCAAGCAAAGAGCCTGAAAGATGAAGGAAATTCATATTTCAAAGAGAAGAAATACAAACATGCTGTGGTGGCCTATACAGCAGCTCTGAAAAAGAAATGTGGGGACCAGGAGTTCAACGCTGTGTTATTGACCAACAGAGCAGCTTCACACTTCCATCTGGGTAAAAATGCTGACAAATATTTTGAAATGTTATTGCATAGAGCCAGGGACGGAGCTAGATGGGGGGCCAGGGGTGACCATGGCCACCTTTACCTAATCATTGGCCATTGCTGTGGTCACCGCTACCATTTTTCCCTCTAATACAAGCACTGGCAGCAATAATATACTCAAGTGGAATGTTCTAACTTCTAACTATGTCCTAACATTTTAATTTTCTATATGTAAACAATTGCCTGACAACAAAAACCCTGTGGTTAATTATGCACATCAATATACTAATATTTCTTTAAACACCCTCTGGTTGTCTAAGGATTTCTGAAGAAACATTTTCATGGACACTTATTTCCCTCAGGTAACATGCGGTCTGCACTAAATGATGCTGCTGCTGCAAAGAAGCTCAAACCAGACCACCTTAAAGCTTTGATAAGAGGTGTGTGGTATGTCACGTGTTCTATTAAATGTCCATGCACTTAAAGCATACAGTTATGAACTAAGTTGTTACATATGGATCATAACAATTCATAGAATAGATTATGATAATTCTTTGGGGTCTGCAGGTGCTCAGTGCTGCTTGGAGCTGCGTAACTTTCCAGATGCCATCCAGTGGTGTGATGAGGGGCTAAAATCCCATCCTACTGACAACAAGCTGAGGGAGCTGAGGGCAACTGCAGATAAGCAGAAAGTAAGAGATCAGTTAGTGTTGCTTTCTGTGAGGGTGTACGATCAATTAAAGATGTTTTTGTTTTTATTTTTTATTTGTGATGTCTCAGAGAGCGGCAGAGAGGGATGCCAGGAAAGCCAAGGCCAAAGAAAAGAAACTGACTGGTGAGAAAGAGGCCCTTCTCAGTGCTATAAAGGTAGGCAAATTTAAAGGTTGATAACTAAAGCTTTAACCCAAAACTTTAAAAAAAAAAATTTGTATGTACCATATTTTTTGGACTATAGCGCACCTCACTATGAGCTGCACCCACTAAGTTTTTAGAAAAACTGGAAACGTAGATGTATTTTGCCGCACTGATATCTATGGAACGTTCTCCCACCAAGCCTGTAGGGGGAGCTCTACTTAAATAGCCCTTAGAGTAGGGATTAAGAAGAATGCTAGCTCCTGTTAGCTTGCAGCAGAAAGAGCTTCTACTGAAAGATAGGGCTTTGTCAGTTCATTATTTCATGAGTTGAGCACATGTCTCTTCATTGTAGTGATGGTGAGATGAAGCCTCATGAGGCATTTTGACCGTTTGGCCAAATTGTTTCAACAATCCCCACATTTCATGAAGCCCCATGAACATGTCACCACCTACTGGTGGAGCGCAGAACTACAGTTAGTAATATAATCTGTGATTTTTTTTCAGTATTGTTTTTCTTGTTTGTTTTTTTCTCCCCATATAAGTTAATTTGAAATTGTTAATGTTTGGTCTGTACGATAGAATCTTTAGTATGTTTTTTGTGTGTAAAATGTTTGAGAATAGAAAAATCATTTAAGGTACACTGTTTTTGTGCCATGTTAGTGAAATAAGCCCAAGCAGATAGTGAAAGTCTGTGCAGATTGGCCAATGATGAGAAAATGAATTTTTTATTTAAACATAATAGTTTTCCTACAGTTTTTGGTTTTAATCGGGTTGGAAGTTATGTGTTCAACCAATTTTTTTGGTTGAACCCACCAATCAATTTTTTTCTGTTTTTACCAATCTATATGTATACTAGGGCAAACAATACAAATTAGTTACATTAGCCAAGATACTTGTGTTTTAGCGGAACCTTTTAAAATACTGAAGTGGGTTTTGACCCATCAACCCACGGATTGGAAGTCCATCTCTAACAACTGATGCCACTAAGTAGGTGACATATGTATAGAAAGCATTACTACTTAGAACACATTACATCCATGATCAGTGGCTTGCTCAGATTTTGATCAAACCAAACTAGTTTAAACCAACTACATTGATTGGAAAAACAACCAATCTATTCTTAGAACATATCCAAACTCTATCCAACTCTCTTACAAACTCCCACATCTTGACTGAACACAGAGGGTGTTTAAATGCCTGCAGAAGTTTGAGGCGAACTGAACCACTTCCCGAAGCGGTCATGTGGTATGTCGGGTTGCGAGGCTTCGGACGTCATCTAGTTTGGCTCCTCCCCCATATGAATCATGCCTCAATATGCGCCTCGCGGAAACGCCCCCTTTCAGTTCTCGACTTACGCTTTGAAGCCTCGGTTCATCTCATAACATCACTACTTCATTGGTTCTGCAGCTTTAATGTAGCAAATAAATGTTTGAATTCGGGACATTTGTTCTCCATCTTGCCTGCTCCTAGTGTGTTCTTGTGCTAAAAGAAAATTAGCCCCTTATTCTTTTAATTTCCAACTTTGACTTCCCCCTCTGGTGGTTAGGAAGAATCCACAGAAAAGCTTCTAATAAGCCGCATGGTTCAAAGCATGGGGGAAAAAGTAGCGGCTTATAGTCTGTAAAATATGGTCCTTAAATATTTCATCAGTTCCATCCAATCGTACAGTCTGGTTAGGGTTTCTTTTTATCTTCCATCTGAAGCCAGGTGGGCCCTCTGTGAAGAGAAGGAAACACAGAGAACACGAAGTTGATAGCAGGTGTTGTGAAGCTTGAAAGTAGTAGGAGAAAAGGCTGATTTATACTTCGAAACTAGGTCCCCTGCGTAGGTGTCGCAGTGAACAAAAAGAGGCACTCCGCTGCACCTCTCCCAAATTGTGACTGACTGCAGACAGTGCCGCAGAGAGGAGGCCGGCTTGTTTTGTTTTAATGACTGAAATTGCAGAAAAAAACTTGTGAAGTTGGACCAGCTAGAAGATG